GCTGTTGCGGAAAAACGCAACTATTTCTAATTATACTATTTTGTGCTGTTGCGGAAAAACGCAACTATTTCTAATTATACTATTTTGTGCTGTTGCGGAAAAACGCAACTATTTCTAATTATACTATTTTGTGCTGTTGCGGAAAAACGCAACTATTTCTAATTATACTATTTTGTGCTGTTGCGGAAAAACGCAACTATTTCTAATTATACTATTTTGTGCTGTTGCGGAAAAACGCAACTATTTCTAATTATACTATTTTGTGCTGTTGCGGAAAAACGCAACTATTTCTAATTACAATATTTTGTGCTGTTGCGGATTTTTCGAAACGGTTTGCTATTCGTTGCGGATTTTTCGACACGCCGTTACTTTTGTAATTCGTGTCGATCATGGGTTTGCTGACTGCAGAGGAAGATTTTATCATGTGACCTACTTATCTGATTCATCAGATCAGCTTGCCGTAACTAACTCTATAGCTTTCAACTCCTTTCATGGTCAGAGACTATTATTATTATTTATATTACACTCATTCATAAAAAAACACTGATCCTCATTACATCACAAATCTCTCCCCTATTATGTTATCATCTTTAGATTGGTTGCATTATAAAGTTCAGTATGAGAAATAGGTGAATTCAATGCAGATATGGATTGAGGCATGAGCTTAGGAATATTAATAACCAGCATCACAAAATGAAATAATTTTGTAGCCTTCTGGTGTTGGTTTATTTTTCATTCAGACTGCAATCATTTCATCAACTGAAACATTCGTACCAGGCACATACAGTTTTTTAAACATATCTCTCAGGTTGATGGTAATGGCTCAACCTTGGAATACCAAAAAGACTGAGTTTCACTAGGAGGAGAAATGTGAGAGAAGTGCTTATCACTCTTTTCAAAATTCTGCAGTCACACAACATTTTGTCACAACTTTTTTTTGTGAAAACAGTGATTATAATGTGAAACCAAGTGAAAACTTCATGAAAACTTCTGCGAGCCAGTGATTACCTAATTTGGCTTAATTTCAAGCAAACTTTTTAGTTTTTAACAAGATATTAAAAGACTTAAAAAAGCCTTGTTTGCTTGTGAGGAGAATAATAAATTTGGCATCTACTAAACCTTTCTGAAGAATAGAAGATGTCTACTTAATACAACTTTACCTCTTTACTTAGTGCAAGGCAAGAAAAGAAAGCTTGTTGGGTTGTTACACCAGCAATTATGAGGCAATCATAACTGATTCTATGTTTTCATTTTCATTTTTGTTTTCAATTTTTTTTTTGATGATGATCATACTATTTTGAAAAGTGCTATAATTTGTTGAAATCTAACCAATTACATAAAATCTTTAATACTATGAATTGGTTTTCTCTCATTGCAATTCCATAAGTCTTCAACTGTGTAGATTTTATATATCCCAATGTTAGTATAAATGATCAGGGCAATCCAAACTTCTTTAATGTAAGAAAACTCCAAGGATGACCATCACTAAATCATTTCCTTTTGTTTTTTTGTATTCTCAACAATCATTTGTAACTGATTATCAGTAAAAAATAACTGAAAAATTGCACTAATACTAATACTAATAGCATTTCATGGGGAAGTGTTGCATAGCCTTTATGAGCTGGCTGATATTTTTGTATTTGTTCAAATACTGGAAGTGGTAGACTTGCAGTCTGTTGCAATATAACACTTGTGTTTTCCCTTTCTTTACCCTTTCCCCAAGTCTTAATCGAGTTGAAACGCTCTCATGTATTCCTTCATTCTTCCCTTCCTCTTCTTCCCTATTCTTGCATTTTCCCCTTCTCCCTCTATTACTCACGTCATCTTTACAGTTATTTTTTCTGAATCAATTTAAATAACATGTATTTCTTGTTCACTTTCACCTCTCATGTCTTCGTATTTGTAGCGTACATATTTTCGATCATTTCCGCTAACATATTATCGATAAAGATCTATGAGGCGGCGTAGTTGGAATCTGATAAAGAAATTTTAGAGCTAATGCTAGAGCTAATGCTAGAGCTAGAGCTAGGGTTAACATGCGTAGACATTTTGAATAAACTCGGTTTAATAATACGGCAAACAGAAGTGAGTATGCAACGCTTGTAATTAGGTGATATTTTATTAGAAACAGAACGGAGTGAATGCCGCGAAAACCCTTTTTGGGGGGGCTTATACTTAATAAAATTTAGGTAACAGAACGAGGATTTCAGCATCATAGTATATTGGTCTTATTGTTAACAGCAAGGTATACAACTTCACGAAATGAGATTGGACGACTTGTCGCCGGCGAACGTTTTTCAAAACAAAGAAATTGTCATGTTGTTATTGTGTATCCAAAAAAAGCTAGCTGAATCCATTTATGGTTGAACTCCGTGTCACGTATAAATATAAGAATCAAATCCATTATGGTTGAACTCCGTGTCACGTATAAATATAAGAATCAAATATCTTAAACCCCGGAATACAGTATGGAAGGGACAACAAAGTCGCGAAATAACGAAACATTTCAGCGGCCCGAATTTCCCAAAACCTTAGAGGGATTTGGGTATCATTTCACGGAAGAAGGGGAGCTCAGGAATATTGAGACAAGTAAGACTATCTCATAGCATGGCATATAGAAAAAGTAGGGTCGAACAAAGGTAGAACCGAACAGCAATCGAAAGATAGAGTTCGTTTGGGATGAGTGGTGATAAATTGCACGGAAGCGTATGTCGTGCCAATAACGTTATGATATGACGAATTGATTAACGGACACAGCTGTGCTTTCTTCCCAGATGATCGTTTTGTCTTTGTAATACGAGAAGGCGATCGGGCATACAATCAAGCCCATTACGAAGCCTTGGGCGGTAAATATCCTTGTTCTTATGCTTGCTTGCTTCGCTTAATCCTGCATTATACACTTATCCGCTTACTCTGTTTTGATCCGTATAGACGTAATCGCGCAACATATCGAAGATAGTTTAGTGACAAAGTACAACTTTACTCGGCAGCCTGTGCCAATTGAAGCAGCGGATGATCCCACGATACCTCACAGTTGGATATACTTGAGGTTAGTATGAAAGGACAAGAAGGAATACTTGAAATTAACAACAGTAATGAGAATGACGAATTCGAAAACAATAATGATTAACATGTTGTATTTGATAGCCCCAATTCCTCCAAGTGTAAAAAGCTGATGCTGCTGATTCAGGGAAGTGGTGCTGTCCGGCCTGGTCAATGGGCTCGACAAGGTAACACTAAGTGAACGTTACAGAATGTCGAGACATATCCACATAGGTACTGATAAAGGTTATCTTGCTTCACAGTGATAATCAACGATTCTCTTAAGGTATTGTATTTAGCAAGATCCGATTCCGCTCGATTGCAACGCTTACGATAGTTAGAGTAATAGTAACGTCTACGAAATGACAAATATCTTTTATATTCTATGATACTCTCACTTTTGTTGAATAATTTAATCCTTTCCTCATTTCCCGTATCTCTCAGATGGGTTCAATGTTCCCTTACATAGAAAAAGCTCAAGAACAGGACTTTGGCATCATAATCTTTAATCCTAATGTGAATTTCTCGTCCGTAAGTACGCTTTATTATAATACATTGTCACTTGACAATTTGCCATAGGGTGCATATAACGAGCGCGTTTGCTTATATGTGTGCTCATCCCTGTAGTCTATTGAACGCCGTCGCATAGAAGGTTCCGCAACTCCACCTGGACATTGTCTTTACGTTTGGAAGAATTTTGTCAGGTCAGTAGGATAACAATTCTGTAAAGAGGAAGGAAAGAGCATAAGATAAATTTAAACCGATCTGTTGTTGAAGCATTGGTGCCGGTTGGTCACCTAAAATATGCATCGCGAATGAACATAATATCTTATGCTAAACGTCGCTTTATCTGCAGACCAGCAAAAGCGGAGGATATCGTGATAGTAGCACATAGTTATGGTGGAATCTGTACGGCGCACCTTATCATGGAACTTGGTGAGTCACAAATTTGCAAAACAAATAAAACGATTACGCGTATAGATTGAGATCATTCACTTCTTTTCTTAATTAGGTGATGAATTCTGTAGCCGAGTTAAGGCTATCGCTCTCACTGACAGTGTTCACAGCAAGTCCTGGATACGGGAAGCTATGCGGCCATGGTTTTCCCGTACCGCCATTAACTGGATTACTTCATCTATGCCGTTGGATACATCTATCCCTGAGGCAATGGAGTACAATGGCTGTCCTTGTTTATCTGCTGGTAAATCATCACGCTTGCCAGACTTGGTTTGAACCGTGTTCATAACTCCACTAAATTTTGTCACAGGTCACAAGAAGCACGAATATACTTCAGGCACCGCATTCCCAGCCGTCTTCAAGTTCATTAACAACGCATTGACGAAACCTGCTTCCAAACCATCTGATTACTCTCTGAAATCCGAGAGCACACTTCTTGATACAGTGGTAAGTGCATTCTTCATAAGTTACTCTTAAGATATCGTTACAAGCTAACTGTTAAACCCAACATAAATACAGTCTACAAGTCTCTCCCAAATGCTGTCGAGCACGGCCTCAGTGGTGAAATCACTATTTTCTCTAAACTGGCTTCAGAACACTAGCCAAACTCAAACGAGTAATAACCAGCCGCCTCCTGGTGAACCAACAGCAAAACCAGAGCAAGATAAAGAAGACGGATAAGAGTAAAAGTATAAGCGCAAACTTCAAACTTCTTTGGGAAAATGTCTATGTTATAAATAGTCATGCCTCATTCAGGGATGATAAATCGAAGGCGGGATCAGTATTAGTATTAGTATATATATTTAAACATTCAGTTTCATTGATTAATAAATTTTCTGCTTTTTTTAACATTTGCACTCATCTAATTATGGAATTATAATATATGAATACCCTTAAGGACAAATTCGCATCGTAACTAGAATCCTAACGTGTTATCGTAAACAACGTGCAAAGCGAACAAATCTATCACTATGTGTTAACAGGTACAGTAACGTGCAAAAGTATCCTACCGGTTGTATCATCTAAACGTACATAATAATAACTCCTTAAATTTTCCAGG